ATGAATATAAGCGCGTTAGACCGCTACACCACCGACCCGATGAACTGCAATTTTAAAAAAATCAATGTAATAAATCGGTTTTATAAAAAAATCCTTAAATAAATATAGAGTATGCTTACATATTACCACACACAAATTTTGATTTTTAAATAAAAGGTCTTATCCACTTCTTCAAGAGCTAAAATCCGACGACGTAGCGAAGTTTTGCTACTTCTGGCAACACTGAACGATATCCTACTTATACGGACCTTCTACAAATTTCCTCTAGAGGGCGTATCACTTACCTTGAATCGCGAATACCTAAGACACAGTTTAATGAAAGCCTATTGAGAATTATTTTTACTATTGGTCTGTGTACAATTAATTATGGGACACACTGTATGTATAAATCTATTTGTGTTCTTTCACAACTCACTATTTCTTTTTCCTTCCATTCGATAATTCTCATTCTTTCTACACGTCTACTTTCCACCTGGTTTAAGGTCGTTCTTATCTCCTTTTTCCACCTTATTAGCTCGTAATTACGGTTTCTTATTTCATACATCATCTCTATCTTAAACAAATACTTAACAATAACAATAATAAATATAAAAATAATATCTAATAAAATTGCATATATACTGCGCATCAGAGAAAACGGGACACCTAAAAAATTTACGAAATAATTCATCTTTTTAAATATATCTCATTTTTATAACAATAAATCTATTGTGTATTAAGTCAGTAATTGTTTTACCATGTTATCCGATGTTACCATAAGTCACAAACAAAAAGGAAGCAGAAAAATGAAAAATCATAAATTTATTGAAAAATTACAGTTACAGTTTACTTTGCAATAATAACTAGAATTAAAGCGGCAGTAAATGGTAAGGATCACTTTTCAATATGGCGTATTGCTACCCCGATTATGGATGACAGTCTTCATTCGATTTGGCAGAGAAATCAGCAAGGTCTGAATGTTTGCTTGAGGAAAAGTGGTCCATTCTTCAATAAGGTCAAACTGAAGCTCTTCACGTGTTGTTGTAACAAGTAAACGACGTCTTACACGCCTTTTGAGCTGGTCCCAAATATGCTCAATAGGATTAAGATCCGGGTTTAGAAGAGGCCAATCGATTTTGGGAATACCAACCTCTTCAAGGTATTGTGTTACCATCCTTGCCTTGTGTGGTCGCGCGTTATCCTGCATTAACAGCAAATCATTGCCAACAAACCCAGCATATGGTATTACATGCTAGGATCTCTGGTATGTATCGTTGTAATGTTAATGCGCATCTAGCAATAATAACGAGATCCGTGTGTGCCTCAAAAGAAATTTTTTCCCAAAAACATTACTGAGCCATCCCCAAAAGCAACTCAAGGTGACCGAGTACAGGCAGCATAACGTTCTCCAGCTCTTCTGTAAACCTTACTTTGGCAATCTTTTCCATATACGCATATTCACACTCATTCGTGAACAGTAGATTCTTCCAATCGTCCACTGTTCAATTCATATGTTCGCGAGCAAAAGCAAGTCTGCGTCTTTTGTGTGCTGCAGTAAGCAAGGGCCCTGTAGCTGGACTGCAAGCTGTCAGTCAAACCACTTTCTCTTAACCTTCGCCGAACAGTAGAAGTGCTGACTGCCGGTCCATGAGCTTGCTGAAGACTGCTTTGGAGTGTTCTAGCAGTTTGGGTTCGGTCTCGTAAAGCAGCAATGGTAAGTAAAGCAATCTTCCCTGGCTGTTGGTTTTTTTTTTAGCACCTGTACCGGGTCGCCGGTGATAAGATCCGGTCGCAAGAAACCGTTGGTGTGTTCTTTGCATATTCGAACAAATGACATTTAATTTTTTCGCCACATTCCGTTGACTTGCTCCATTTTCCAATAATGTTACAATCTGAATAGCTCTTCGATATTTTTCAACCATTATTAAGGATTACACTTTACTCTACGAGGACAACAATTCCTTTAATACTCTTTTTCTACGTTCATGCAAAAAACAAAACTTTATTGAACTGTATTTAGTGAAAAAACTGCTTCTTTATTGCACTAGTGCAATAAAAACTTTATTGCACTCATCTGTCATTTTACTACAGCGTTTTATGATCATGACAAACATAAATATTCAAATCAACGCCAAATATTTAGTCCATTTTCATTTTCTGTGTTACGTTTTAAAAACAATTGCATATTTTATATTATTTTCAATCATTTAATAAAATAATGTATTTTATTAAAAATGTCATTACAAATTATGAACACAAACGTAAATAAATGCCTCTAACAAAAATACACGATCACGGCTATTATGATTTGGATAATACAACTGCAGTTCTATAAAATATTTTTGGTTTTTGCATGAACGTAGAAAAAATATTGTATGCAACTTTTTGCACTTGTTGCATAAATAACTATTAGAACACAATACAAGTTCATAAAGTTCTCAAAACAGTCACTTTCATGAAACTTAATTGACGGGTAAAAAAGTATTCTGATAAATTTGTTGATTTACTCGGTTCCGAAAATTTGTTTATGATCTTTACAGGGTGACATGACTTCGTTAGTACGCAAACTAACCCGTTTTATGTAATTAAAAAATAAGATAGATAATTTCGTAAATTTTTTGGGTGGCCCGTTTTCTCTGACGCGCAGTGTATTATGCTACTATTGTTACTATTTAGAGTTAGTCATTTTCTATTTGTTTCTATAATTTTAAATGGATTGCGCTAAACAAAGTATAAATCCTACTATCTATTTTTGTTAGTTAATTTACTCGAAATTAAAACTTAAATCATGAATCATTTTAAGTAAAAGTAGGTATGAAGAGGAACATCAATAGTATCTTTAATTTCAAATTATTTGTTTAGAGATGGTTTTTTATAATTACAATCTATACCAAAGTTGCAAAATAGTTATTTATGCAACAAGTGTGTAAAGTTACCCTTTTTTGACGAATGTGAATGTTGTCAAAAAAGTCAAAAAAGGGACTTTAAATAATCAACTGCAGAATTATTTGGATTTAAAATCGTAAAAATGCGTTCTATTCCATTTTTGGTTTCTGATACTTTGACAATATACACTGTTTGTTTATCTTCCACATCTTTAATTGTCATTTTACATAATTCTTCCCGGCGACAAGCTCCCGCAATTCCAATTATAAAAGCTACCTAAAAAATAACATATTGTAATGTTACAAATAATTTATTAAACATTAGGAAATATCTTGACGTTGCGCATGTAAAACTCCAAATAAATGCTATTGTAAAAAATATAAAAGTTTTAGGTATAATGTGCTGCCTAACAACCCCGGTGGCCTGTTAGGACAGCAACTGATTTTGTTAGGCAACACACCATACGAACACACATCTCGTTGCAAAACTTTACAGAATATTTTAATTTTATACTGAGCATTCAAGCATTTACTGAGGCATTTACTTACTTTGATCATTAAAAACTTCTCGTTCAAAAATTTTGGATTTTTTTGGTTTATAACCTTTATTTTTTTGTTTGAGAAACGCTATTAACTTGTTGAATTTCGAAATATCAACGTTGTTTTTATATTTTAAGGTGCTTTTAAGCATAGAATAAATCGACCATAGGGTAGAAGCTTTGCAATTCTTCAATTCATCAGAGAAACGTTTTCCGAATATTTTGTCACCTTATTCTTCCTACACCATTCTATAAATGCATTGTATTTTTGCTGATAAATATATGCAGATTTTTCTGGCAATAAATTTTCAGTGGCCTTTTGTGCACTGCATAAGATATCTGGGGGAGTATTATCAAATTCGCTATCGCTAGATAAATTTGAATCCATATCGATTATGACAGATATAATAAACTGCAAATAAAATTTGAATTTAAGTAAACAAACATTAAAAAGTAAAACTTTTTACCTTCTCAAACTTGATTGAGTTTAAAAAAATGCTAAATTGGCTTTAGAATCTAATCTTGAACTTAAGTATACTTTTGTCGTGTTCTGTTATAAGGTAGGTACTAATTAAAAGTTTAGAGATTGACAGTTCTTCTAATCCACACAGCCACGGCCAACTTACTTTTACCAAAATCGACATCCACTGTATATTTACTTTTAATTAAATCGATGACATTTAGAGAAAATTATAATTAAAATAAACTGTTGATAATTTGTTGGACACTAAATAGATATAAGCAAAAATAATTTATTTATTTGTCTTAGAAGGAGATAGCAAAAAAATGTTAATATAAAATAAAACGTTATATTTTGTTGTTATGTACAAATTTTGTCAAATTTTACTTTTTTATCTAGTGCGTAAAGAGTTTTACACTAGTGAAAAAAAGTACAACTTTACACACTTCGTGGAGTGCGTAAAGTACGTACTTTACGCACGGTAGTAGAAAAAATATATTGCTGGCTGGTTATAAAGTTAATAAACTTAAAGTACATTTTTTAAACCCTTTTAACCCAGAAACTATATTATGCCTTAAGAATATAATCTTTCTTTGACACCGTATATCATGTTTTAGACATTAAAAAAATATATACAGGATGGGCCAACGAAAACTTTACACCCCAATTTACCGGCTTTAAAATGAAAATCGGGAAAAAGCTCGAACCCGTCAACAACTTGTTTGTTTTTTCATCTAGGTAACTTCAACCCTCTAACAGGGGGAAGCATTACCCCCTATTTTTGAATATGGGTGAGGGGTGTTGCAATACCTCATTTTGAAGATATCATCGAGTACTATCTGATTCCAAAATTTTGCGTCAAAATTTTTATCGATAACAGCTAAAACAGTGAAAGAGATATTATGGAAAAAATGTCTACTTAATAAACAAAAATACTTACTTTTGTGATCTTCAAAACGAGGTATTGCAACACCCCTCGCCCCTATTCAAAAACAGGGGGTTGTGCTTCCCCCTGTTAGAGGGTTGAAGTTACATGAATGAAAAAAAACAAACAAGTTGTTCCCCCTCGAATTAAAAACGACTCTTGTAGGAAAATAATATTTATTTTATTTATAGTTATTTTTCTCGATTTTTCAGTAAAGACAATTGAAAAAACTATGGCTGATTCTGTACCATTCTCTTGAAGAAATCAACACCTTTTTTGCAGACTGAGGACTATAATTTACTGCCCAACATTCATCAAATGAAGCCATAACAGAGGCCGCGGAGGAATGATTATAGTTCAAGAAATGAATCTTTATGATCGTTGTACCAAGTGATGAAAGGCTAAGAGTGTATCAGTAGGCTCCAATACGTACAGGCTTGCGAGGTATGTCGTTCGACAACGTAACTTTATGTACCATCCTTCAAATTCAACCCCTAAAATCGTTACTTTAAAGTATAATTTATTGCTCTCTAAAGTAGCCAATGGAACTTGGAAGTAAGTTATTAAGACAGTATTGTCTAGGCAATCAACGTGTTAAAACAACTGCATTAAATATCGTTCATATAGTAGTTATTGGAAAAATAGACTAACTTCTGCTATAAAGTCAAGAGGGGTATAATTTTTTTCAGTTTTTTAAGAAATATACAATTTATCAAAAAAAAAATTGTCCCGCTTAAGAATATCTACGTACACTGGTCGAAATCTGAATTCTACCTATGCAAAAGGTATAGAGAATATTTTTTTATTAAAAACCTTTAAAAATTACGATATAGGCCTGGAATTAGAGTAGATTTACCTGTGAAAAAATTAAAATAAAGCTATACGAGGTCTGATCAAAAAATAACCATTATTTTCAAAAAGTATTTATTTATTCATCAATAACTATCTTGTCCCCTTCAAAGTAATCCCCCTCAGATATAATACACTTATGCCAGCGTTTTTTCCAATCCTCGAAACACTTCTGAAACGCGCTTTTTGGTATCGCCAACAGCTCCTGTTTCGATTTTTCTTTTATCTCCTCAATCGTAGCAAAACGCTTTCCTTTCATCGGTATCTTCAGTTTTGGGAAGAGGAAAAGTCAGCGGGGGCCAAGTCCGGTGAATATGGTGGTTGAGGCATGATAACGGTTTTGTTTTTGGCCAAAAACTCACGCACAAGCATCGATGTGTGAGCTGGTGCGTTATCATGGTGCAAAATCCATGATTGTTTTTTCCACAATTCTGTGCGTTTCTGACGAATTGCTTTGCGCAAACGGCGCATAACTTCAAGGTAGTATTCTTTATTGACCGTACGACCTTGTGGCAAGAATTCATGATGCACCACGCCATTGCAGTCGAAGAAAACAGTGAGCAAAACCTTCACATTTGACCGAACTTGACGTGCTTTTTTCGGTCTTGGCTCTTCTGGACGCTTCCATTGGGATGATTGGGCTTTGGTTTCAATGTCATAGCCATACACCATGATTCGTCACCAGTTATGACCTTTTTGAGGAGATCTGGATCGTCGTTGACGATGTTCAACAGCTCCTGAGCGATGTCCATGCGACGTTGTTTTTGCTCAAAATTTAGCAATTTTGGAAACAATCTTCGCTGCCGCACGTTTCATGCCTAAAACATCCGTAAAAATTGCTTGGCATGAGCCAAACGATATGCCAACATCATCAGCAACCTCTCTGATAGTGATTCGACGATTATCCAAAATCATTTTCTTCACTGCTTCAATGTTTTCATCGGTTGTTGACGTGCTCGGGCGACCAGGACGAGCATCGTCATTGACATCTTCTCGGCCTTCCTTAAACCGCTTATACCACAATTGAACTTGTGTTCTGCCCATAGTAGACTCGCAAAACGCCACAGTCAACATTTCAAATGTCCTTGCGCATTTAATTTCATTTTTTACACAAAATTTAATACAGTTTCTTTGATCCATTTTTTCGAATAGTAAAAAATCGAAGAGCACACCAAAACACGACTAACCTTTTTATCTGTCAAAAACAAACTGGCAATCCAAAATGGCTGATATTGCCAACATATATAACAGATATGTGTACCAACATAACAGAAAAAAAAAAATGCGAAAATCGAACATACGTAACTCACGAAATTGAAAATAACGGTTATTTTTTGATCAGACCTCGTATATTTGCTCCCGGGCTATCCAGCTTTAAATTTTTTTGGGGTTTATTTTTTTTTTAATCGATTATTTTAGAACGCTGTGCAAACGACTGGTCTTAAGTGGACAATTCTTGTCAAGTCTTCATCTAGAGGATATTTGTAACAAAAAACCTCATGAGTGTACTACACTAATATTTATAGTTTACCCTCTAGAGCGCCCCGAAGAGAGGCATGTCTTGTCGTTGAAGGCCTCGCTCTCTTTTTTGTACTGCTTACATTTGGCAAGCGCTATGGGCCAAACGGTTGATTGTATTGAAATTTTTATTTATTTAGTATACCTACAAAATTTCAGCGCTCTATGACAACTTTTATTTTTTTGTTTCGAATTTATTAACCTACGACCGCGCGCCTTTAAATGCGTCTCATTCTCAGTCATATAGTATCCGCATTAAAAATACACCCTTTGGGGAGCATGAACTAGACTATTTTTCAGATTAATTCTCGTTCATAATTTTTTCTAATCGGTTTTTAAGGGAACTTATAAGTGTAACAAAATAGGGATAATTTTGAATAAATTTACAAATATCAGTCGATTTTGAGAGCTCGCTATTCCCTTAATTATCAAGCTATAGACTTGAGCAAAAAACTATTGTAAAGTGTAGTTATTCAGGTATAATGTGGTTTTTGAAATTTTTTTTTTTGTAGTGTATAAAGTTCGCGTTAAGCAGAATTTCTTGAAATACAAAATATAACTCCGTAGGACAGTTATAGTTAATTTTAACCGTAAATGTAACAAGACCTTTTTTGTATGTAATTTTAAGATGAACAACTTCTGTTTGAAACTTTTTTGGATAAAATATATATTTCCTGATAAAAAGAAAAAAGTAAAAAAAATGCTTCTTTTACAGTGTATTTTGATCTAAACCATAATAAATACACCAAATTCTATTTCATCATATTCGTAATATACACAAAAAATAACACCCTGCACAGCTTTATTGCTTAAATGAGACTATTTACTTACCTTAGTTAAAAATCGGGTGCTAGCTTTTATACTATATAGGGGGTTCTTAAGGTTGAAGCGCAGAACGAGAAAACACGTAATTTGCCAAAAAAAAAATATATCCCACCATTTGACGACGGTTCAGGCATGTCGTTCGTTCATATACATTGAAAGTTTTTTTTCAGCTCTTCCAGATATAGACTGTGACGTTAGTCGGCAGCGTCATGTCAGTGTGCCTCGAAAGCAGCCGGCCGAGAGACGGTCTCAAGCTGCCTCTCAACCGTAGTATTAGCGAGCCTGGACCACAGTCTCCGACGTCCCATCTTGCTTTGAGTCCCCCGAAAAGGTTCAAGCTGGAAGCCGCTAGTGTGAGTCTGCCCACGAGCCCCTGCGGTGAGAATGCCCATCTGCAGAGGACTTGGGTGCTCAACAATGTCAAGAACATGGACGGTGATGCTTTAAGGTCTAAAATGGAGGATAGGAAGCCAGGACCTAAGTCCTATATCCTTCTTGACTGCAGGCCCTTCATGAGCTACAACATCAACCATATAGCAGGCGCTATTAATGTCAACTGTTCTGATAGATTCAACAGGAGGAGGTTACAACAGGGGAAGGCCACTCTTGCGGATTTGGCTACTACGAGGGATGGTAAAGAAGTGTTGAAGAAGAGGTCTTTTCGTGAAGTGATTGTATATGATGATTCGACTAGTGACAAGGAGAGGATTACTATAGGGCATCCATTACTGTTGGTGATTACTTCTTTAGTGGACGATCATAAGGAACCAGCTTTGCTAATTGGTGAGTAATTTTTTATATCTCGTTTTTTACTGTTTTGAGTTGTATACATTACTTTTAATTATTTGAGTTTCTGATTTTACTGCTACTAATGGATAATTTATTTGTACCTAATATTGTAATTTAAAAAATACAAATTTTTAATGCTACAAATCTTTACATAACTATAGTATAATAATATTATAGTAAGAAAAATATACTACTTTACAGTTTTCAAGAAATAAATAATTAACAAATAATAAACAAATAAATTAAATTATTTTCAATATTAAATTTACAACCTAATTTTTATTTTTTATTTTTTTTATTCATCTTTCAAATTAAACTACTACCTTTTTAGAATTCAGGTATAAATAACTTAAAAGTCTTATAAATATTTTTACAAGGAACTTAAATTTTAGTGCTTGTGTTTATAGTCAAAAAACGATTTTTCAAAAATAATTAAACAAAAATGTATTAGCTATTATTGTTTTATGGTAGGACGGGGCTTCATTGTCTGTCAAAATGATGATATTATAATAAGTCCAAAATAAACAGAATAATAGACAATTACATTTCAAAATCGATAGAAAATGACACATCTGACAGTTTCAGTTTCTATACAAACGTGAAAATCACAATTGACAAACCTATATGACGTGTTTTATTATTTTTAATAATTACATTGCTCAAAAAACAATTATAAATTATACCACTATTGTTTTAGAATTCAGCTATAAATAACTAAAAAATCTTATAAAAAATTGATTTTTGATTTTATTTTTTCAAATTCTTTACGAGGACCTTCAATTTTGGTGTTTGTTTTTAAAGTCAAAAACGATTTTTAATAAATAATTAAACAAGTATAATATTAACTGTTATTATTTTATGGTAGTATGAAGGGACTTCATTATCAAAATATAACATAATATAATCATTCCAAAATAAACATAGAATAATAGATAATTACATTTCAAAATCGACAGAAAATTACACATTTGACAGGTCCAGTGTTTATACAATAAGGGCCGCCCCAGGGAGGGGGCCATACCTCCCCCCGAGATTTTTTTTACAACCCATGAGCTATTTATTAAAAAAAATATGGTAAAAAGGGAATGGCTTATGGCAATTACCTCCCCCCCCCCCCCCCCGAAAATAAAAATTGACGACAAACCTATATGACATGTGGTATTATTTTTAATAATTAGGTACACCTTAATTTTTATTTTTGGAAGTGATTTATTCATTGCTCAAGAAAAATTATAAATTAAACCATTATCGTTTTAGAATTTAGGTATAAATAACTAAACAATCTTATAAATAAAAATAAATTTTTGATTTTTTTTTACAAGGAACTTAAATTTTGTTGATTGTGTTTAAAGTCAAAAATCGATTTTTCATAAATAATTAAATAACTGAACAACTATTTCTGTTTTATAGTAGGAAAGAGCTCCAGTGCCTGTCAAAATATAAAATGATAATAATATTCGAAAATAAAAAGAGAATAATAGACAATTAAATTTCAAAATTAACAAAAAATACACATTTGATAGTTTCTTTCTATAAAAAAAGAAAATCCTAATTGATAAATCTATATGACGTCATGTGTTATTAATTTTAATAATTACACCCTAATTTTTAATTTTGAAAATTTTTATTCATTGTTCAAGAAAAATTATAAATTAAACCACGGTCGTTTTAGAATATATTTATAAATAACTAAATACAATTTGTCAATAAAAACAAATTTTATCAATACAAATAAATTTTTGATTTTGTCCTTTCAAAATTTTATGAGGAACTTAAATTTTGGTACTTATTTTTATAAGATAACGATTTTTCATAAATAATTTAACAAATATGTATTAACTATTATTGTTTTATGGTAGAAAGGGGTTTCATTGTCTCTCAAAATACAGGGTGTCCCAATGAAAAGTAGCCCATTTCCAGAGCTTATAACTTTTAAACACCTAGTCGTAGAAACGTGCGGTTTTTGCTATATGTGCTACATGTGTTATTTTGCTATAAGTTTTGATTCAGTGACACATACATTATGTATTACCTATACAGGGGGTTTTTTAAAAATCTCTTTTAAATTCAATGTAATCAAATTTTATCAAATGGAACACCCTGTATATGTTTAGGTCATTTGAAAGATACACTCTTCTACTTTTCAAAAATGTATAATTTGTACACGGTATTTTACAAAATAAATTTGATAAAATTTGGTTACGGTGAATTTAAAAGATGAGATTTTTAAAAAACACCCTGTAGTAATATTGTGTCACTAAACCAAAACTTATAGCAAAATAACACATATCAGCGAAAACCGCACGTTTCCACTATTAGGCGCTTAAAAATTATAAACTCTGGAAACGGGCTACTTTTAATTGGGACATCCTGTATTTTGCAAAATACCATGTACAAATTATACTTTTTTTGAAAAGTAGAAAAGTGTATCTTTCAGATAAACATATACAGGGTGTTCCATTTAATAAAATTTGGTTACGGTGAATTTAAAAGAGATTTTTAAAAAACACCCTGTATGGGTAATACATAATTTCTGTGACACTGAAGCAAAACTTATAGCAAAATAACACATCAGCAAAAACCGCACGTTTCTACGATTAAATGTTTAAAAGTTATAATCTCTGGAAATGGGCTACTTTTCATTGGGACACCCTGTATAAGATAATATAATCACTCCAAAATAAACATAAAATAATAGACAATACAAACTAAACAGAAAATTACACATTTGACAATATCAGTTTTTATTTTTAAAAATTTTTCATGTATTTCCAAAGCAAAGATATTTTCTAGCTACTAAAAATTGAGACATACGGTATAGTAAACATTTCTGTTACATAATTTCTGAAATAATAGTTTTAATTTTATTCCAAGTATTTAAATGTAAATATAAATATAGAATGTGGTTGAGTTATTTTGCAATTTAAATTTTTTAAATAAAAAATTCAGTAAGCGACCTTGCTAAATAATAATTTCTGCCCTAGTTGTTTTTCTGTCTCTTTTTTTTTTGTTTATATATTTTATCACTGAATTATTGTTTTGTGTTATTGTTTGTATTATTTTAGAAAAGAAAATTTATTAGTTATGTAGGACGATAAAATAAGTGGTTTGTACGACAAAGTATCAATCGGGCGCATATTTTTACTATTTATTTTTAATTTTCTCGCAATCGATACATTTCCCACTAGCGCAGAAGTTTGAAACACGAGCCCTTAGGCGAGTATGTAATATAGTAATAATAGTCTTCTCTAACATTTTCTGTTATATCTGGAGGTGCGTTTTCGATGCCAAAATCTGATGAAGTCTACAGAAGATGTATATGTATGTAAAAATTACTATAAAACGGAAAATAATTCCAAATTCAATGGGGACCAAGATGTAAAATAAACGAAAACAAGAATATTTCAAAGCTGTGTGTCACAAAATAATTTGAGCGACCGTTAGTACCACAACAGGCATTGGATTATATCCAAGGAAAATGTCAATGAAGATAGCATGGCAAAGTCATAAGCGCGCAGAGCAACTTATGCCTTATGCTATATTTTTTGGCTAATTTTTGACTATTTTTACCAAATTTTAAATTAATAAAAAAAATAACCACAATAAATTCTTTCTTGTCTACTTCCTGTACGGCAGCGTAGAAGGACCAAATTTTTTTAAATTCTTTTTAATTCTAAAATTCCGTGTTCGAACACGGAATTCCTTGTTTAAACACGGAATTCCGTATTCAAACACAGAAATCTAAAATTTCGAGTTCAAACACGGAAATTCCGTGTTTAAACAAAGAATTCCGTGTACGAACAAGAAATTCTTTGTACGAACATGGAATTTTTTTTAGAACTATAAATTTAAATGGCGTATTTATAGGTTACTCTTGGGTGGGATCTTGAGGAGGGATGGGTAAATACGGATTCTTTGAATATCCTCATATTTTTACTTTTGCCGACTTTTGAAAAGAGGGATGGCGTAAGTAGTACCAAAAGTCTCGTCCTCTTTGGTCCCTGCATAATATATTTCCTTTAATTTCATTTCCAGGTCAGTCTTATTTCTTAGGATCTAGTCCCGATGCCCAAATTTCATTTGAATCGGATCAAAATAATGTCCTGTATAATGTTTTAAGTTTACCCTCCTTGCCTTTCTAACCCAGATGATAAGAGAGGGATAAAGTGAGGAGATGTTTTCCAAATACAATTATTAGTTATCTCTAGAAAAAAATGAAGAAATGGGGGACCGGTTAAGAATTTTTTTATTTGTGTTTCTATTAAATGGTACTAACAAAAATGATGGTGCTATCTAAAAAAACTGGTGATGACGTCATATTTTGAAAAATAATGTCACGTCATAAAAAATATACTTATACCAAAATATACGCATCTAAAAAACAAAATCCACTTCTGAATGAAAATTGACAAATAATTATGTACGTCGTGTATGGAAATCAAAGGTCGGACGTTTCGGTGTTAGTCGTATTTTTACCCCCACTTCCCTCCAGCCTCCAAGAGCACCTTAAAAGTTAATTTAATATAAAATTATTTAAGTAGAGTATTTGGGACCAAATTATAAGGATTTTCAGAGCATCCGTATTTCCCCCTCCCCACCCCAAATTTCCCAAGTCGTCCAAGAACATCCTATAAATATGCCATTAAAAAATATAGCTCAAATATAAAATTCCGTGTTTGAACAAGGAATTACTAATTTCCGTGTTTGAATACGGAATTCCCTGTACGAAGAGGGAAATCTGTAATTCCGTGTTCAAACACGGAAATTCCTTGTTCAAATACGGAATTCCGCATTCAAATACGGAATTCCTTTTTCGTAGGTACACGGAATTCTTTGTTTAAAATTCTAAAATTCCTTGTTGGAACACGGAATTTTAGATTTCCGTGTTCGAACAAGGAATTCCGTGTTTGCATACGGAATTCCTTGTTTGAATACGGAATTTCGTGTTCGAATACGTAATTCCGTGTTTGAACAATCAATTCCGTGTTCAAACA